TGAAATATTGTGTCTTCTGCATGTCTGACGGCAAGCCTTCGAGCTGAATCCATCGTTCAAAACATTCCCAAGGCGTTCGTCGCTCAGCGCCAGCCAAGAACAGAGACTTGCTCGTCAGCATGCTAGAAATAAGGGGCCAGTTGTAGGAATATTCCCTGACTCTAGCTCGCAGCTCATCGTCCTCTGCCAGTGTCCACATCGAAGGACTACGTGACTCGTAGAAGCTCTGTGATGGCATGGCATGGTCGGTTGGTGGGCGGAATTGGTGGCCCGCATGTAGTCTATCGCGAATGTGCTTCATCTCGGGATTAAACAAAGCGACCTCATCTGATATGGGGGCCACGTTGACGCGTGGTGATGTGTCCTGAGCCACGAATCCATCATCGCTATCATCGTCCGACTCCTCATTTCTGTAGTGATAACGGCTCCTCTTACGTGGAGGTCCGTCCAATGCGAGTTTCATATCTCCTTCGACATACTTGCTAATAGGTACAGCAGGTCGGCGCCAGTGAGAGTCAGGATCGACATCTGGCGCTGTTGGGTCACCCCTGGGAACCTTGAGCGGGGCACCATACATAGGAAGCTCATCTAATAGTTGATCAGCCACCGCTGTTCTTCTCAGTCCAAAGACCACGTCGTCCTCTTGTAAGGTGAAGATGGCGGATGGTGCTATCGTCTCAGGGAAGAGCTCAGTCAGTTCCTCCACAACCTGAGGCGAGTCGGCGTCACCAGGGATCAAATCTGGTGTCGCCTGGCTGTCTGCAACTTCCGTCATCATTTCATCTTCAGCCTGTGTGGGCTTAGGTGGAATCACGGCCGGAACCTGCATGGCTTTGCGCTCCTCTGGCGAGGATTCGCACCATTCAGCACACGCATTTGCCAGATTTCGAGCAACAGCGGTCTTCCATTTGCGCTCCTCTCGGAAATCAGTTCTCATCCATTTGGCCTCCTGAAGTAGAAGATCCCAGTGAGAAGTCGTCCGGACGGGCTCATCGCATCGCTTCGGTTGCCTGAGCGACCATTTATCAGTAGACTGGAGATGATAGACTCGCCGCAAAACTCTGCATGCCTGGTGATCATGGATACAGAGCGTAGCATCGGGTGTTGCGATTGTCTTATTGGCATGGAATAGCTTGTTTTGCATTGGCTGCATCCAGGTTGAGCTTCCAGCGAATCCTTGAACGAATAAAGGGGTGAAGTAGTCATCCGACGGCTGGATTGACTCCTTGGAACTGGGCACCAACTCCTTCTCCTCCACGCGCTTCGGCTGCTTGCCAAATAAAACCGCTGAGACTTTCCTATCCTTGCGGTTAGATGAGACACGGCGAGTACGAGAGAATGATGATTGAGGTGTAGAGGCCAGAGGCGTCAATCGGTCTTGCGGCTCCTCGGATTGCGCAGGCTTATTCACAACCTGCCTGACTGGAGGATAGCCAACAATTTCACTGACAGACTTCGGTCGCATAGCACCCGATGAGACACGTGTGACTGCCCGCTCTGCTGGTTGAGGGACTGGCTTCGGGACAGGAGCCGCTACTGCAGGTGTAATAGGAGTAATCAGGGTTTCTTCTGGCTTCTTGTCGTCTGTAACATTTGGTTGAGCTGTTTCAGCAGGGCTTTCGGTTGGCGCGACCTCAGTTGGCTCGACTGAATCAATTTCCATCTTCTCGGGCGTAGGTCCCTGACTATCTGGAATCTCTGCAGGCTTCGTCTCGCTTGGTGGAGGGGCTATTACAGGATCCGATTTAGGAGCCTCCGTTTTGGGAGTCGGTTGTTGCTCGACAACAGGGGCTGGGGTCTTCTCTCGCTCAACTGGTGCTGGCGCATCCTCCTTAACACGCTCGGCAATGGGCTCCTCGCTAGGTTTGGTCTCTGGAGTGGCAACGGCAGCTGTAGCAGCTGCTTCCGCTTCTGCTGCCGCTTTGCTTGATTGAATGGATTCCTGGAGAAGCTGATCCTCTGCCGACTCAGAGCCCGCCCGTGAATCAGAGACCTCGGCCGGAGGTGGCGTCTTCTCAGGCTGCTCCTTGAGTTCAGCCACGGGTGCTGGCGCGGGCGCGGGTGCTGGCGTGGGCGTGGGCGTCAAATCCATCTCTTCCTCCTCGGGTTTCGGTTGCTGAGCAGCAGGCCCCGGATAGCTAGGGGCCTCGTTCTCCGGGCTTGTATCGGCCGACACATCATGAACAGCGGGAGTAGTAGCGCTGGGAGATGTTGATCCAGGCGTCGAGACTGTGTCTGGAACACGAGTCGTATCCGTCGGGGTCTTAACCGTTGGTAAACTGGCGCTCTGTTGAGTAGGTGGCTCGGCCTCCGCCTTGCTGTCCGTAACGTCCTTCGATTGCTCTACCTTCGGCGGCGGAACTGGCGTCTTCGTAGGTGGGGGCGCATCCTTGGTGCCTGGAGGGAACGTCACTTGCGCCGGTCGGGCTTGCAGAGCTGGTGTTTGGACTTGGGGTTGTTTCGCGACATCATTAGCAACAACAGGCGCAGCTTGAACGGGCTTAGTAGCAACTGGAGGTACGGGCGCAATGACTGGCGTAGGTACTGAAGTCGGTTTAGGAGAAGGAGCTGGCGCAGCGACGGGCTTCGAAGGTGGTGCTGAGGCTGGCACGGGGATCGGTACGGGAGTGACTGAAGGCACCTTCGCAACAGGGACAGGCACGGGCGTTCGGACGGGTTGTGTTTGAACGGGTAGGACTGGACTCGATTTAGGAACGGGAGGTGATTGCTTCGTCGGCTGCGGCGCAATTTTAGTTTGCTGGGGAGGGATGGGAGTAGGAGCGGAAACAGGGCCAGCCTCGACAGTCGCAGGCGCCGTTGGTGGTGTTATCGGCTTCGTGAAATCCGGTCGCTTTACGTCTTCGCTGGGCTTCTGTTGTTGCGACGGCGCCGGTGGCGGGAGGGCTGCGACGGTCGGTCCATAGCCTAGGATGGCGAAGGACTTCCTCAGGACGTCGAGTGAGAGTTGTTGTCGGGACGGGATCGTTTGCTCGTTCAGCTTCTTGCCTCTGCAACCTGCGTGTTAGTGAAATTCGCGGCATGTGACATGGCTCGCAAACGCGCTCGGGGTTGCACAAAAATCATCTCGACCAATTGCCCGGACGTACTGTGATATTTCGTTTGCCTGCAAGAAGTCCGACTCGGCCTGCGTCGGGGGTGGCGCGTCCGGCTTGGTGAAGGCATCATGCGGGAAGCCTGCGGGCTGTGTCGCGACCGCGAACAACTCGCGAAGCTTCCTCTTCCGCGACGTTACGATTGCACTGAGGCACGTTAGCAGGGCAAAAATGGCATCGCTGGCATCGGAAAAAATCGCCCGATCGCATGGTGCGCAACTCACTTGCTCTCGTTGCGCTTGGAGTGAAGTAGCCTTGACAGGTCGGTGAGTCCGACCTCACTCATAGCATCGACGGTCGCGACATCCGTTTACGGACGAAACGGATAGGCCGGGCTGTGCACGAGGGCCGAAATAAATGGGCGAGCACGCGGCGGCGATGGAAATGATGGTGGTGGGTGGTTTGTTGATGGAATCAATTGATTGATATTTTTTTTCTTGTGCTCTCGCCAACGGCAAAAAGGGGACTTGCAGGCGGTTCTATCGCCAGGTGTTAATTTTGGGGGGCGGGTTGTATTCGGGTGGTCTTGCACGAGCTGCACAGGGGGGCAAGGGCCGCTGGAAAGTGCTGGCAGATATCGGGGGTGCATGTGCCTGCTGGCTGTAATGGACGGTAGGGAGAGTCGGGATGGGACATGGGCGGTCCAGAAATTTTCGCACCTACTACTCCTCTAGTGCCCTTGCGCTTGCACCTGAACGGAAGAAGGGGGAGGCGAGGCGGTGCAGCACCGCTAGACCGCCCGTGGAGGCTGCAATATTATTCCTGCCCAGACGCACCCGCAGAGAGGGGAAGGAGCTGCCTGATCCCCACGCACGATTCCAGTCACCATTGCGTAAGAACACTGTGCTGCTGGGGAGCCCGTAGTGCACTGTTCGCCCCATGCAGCCCTTCTGTTAGGCCGGTAGCGTCATCCGCGGCGCACTGTAGATCTGTCTGTCTACACGTAATCCATCGGCTCCCTGCCGTCAATAGAGTTTTGCCTAGTCCTGAACGCAACGAGCAGCGAGTCGGGACAAAATGCACAGTGTGCCAGCCCGCTGCTTTCGACTCAGCTCCTTTCCGCCCATCCCATTTTTTAACAAGGGTGGATCCAGGCGGCATCCACACCTGGCCGCCCAACAAACATCCATCACACCCACACCCTCGATGCATCGGGTCATGGTGGGAAGGGCACCAGCCAGAGAAACAGGTAAAACACGCACAGAACAGGAAATCATTTTAATCCAAGTTACATCGGAGAGCCGAATAAGCACTGACCAAGATTTCTTCCCGTCGCATGCGCATACATAGCCGCGACAGTCGATCCCAAAATTGCCAAGAGCGTTTATCGCGATCGAGGTAGGAAATCAATTAATTTTCTTTTTCCTTTGGGGCGGATTTTGTAGGCTCCGGCCAAAGTCGCTTGGAGCAAATTTTGCCTTCCGAGACATCATCGTAAGCTGACCTCCAGAAGACGCCACACTGTAATTGTGCACCCCAGCCAGATGTGCAGACCACCCAAGTGACTGACGTTTATTATACTCCGTACACCCAACCAAAACCTCCAGCGTTGATTTTCAACGCAATATCAAAACAATTAGCCCAATAAAAACCACAATACCAAGCTAAATAGCGTTGATGATTTGTTCTCTTTGTTTACTGATGCCTAACTTAGCGTCCAAACTTATTGATAAGAAAACAAGACCCTGCTGTTCATGAAAAGAGCTTGAGTGAACCTTGTTTACAGTAATTTCAGCCACTTGCCACCGTGCCACATCTAAATATTCCCCTAGCCACATGCACCAGCCACATCACGCTTCTACCTAATCCAGGCACCAAGCATTCAAGATCCCTTCCCCAACCCTCAAATATCCTCCCCCATCACCATTCCCCAAAAGCGCAAACAAAATGAGCGACCCGACCAAAGGCAGAATAGCCATCAAGCTAGGCGGTGGCCCAGCCCTCTCCTCCTCCAAACCAAAACACCAGCCCCCATCCACACTCGGCAAACGCCCGCGACACAGCGCCTGGTCCGGCGGCGGCGCAGACTCGGACGACGACGACGACGACAGACACAACGGCAAGCACGAGACCATCACGGGCTTCGGCGCCGACGGCGCAGAGACGGAGAGGTCGAGGCGACGCGCCCAGGAGGAGAAGAAGAAGGAGTACATCATCGCCCCGCAGGCCAACCGGGACTGGAGGACGGAGGCCAAGGCTCAGAGGAGGAGCAAGAACCCCCTCCCCGGCACCGCGACATCGAATGGGCACGGGAGGCCCGAGACGGAACCTGCGGACCAGGACAAGCCAGAGATCAAATGGGGTCTGACCGTCAAGGAACGCAAGCCCGAGGACGAGGAGAACCCATCGGCAGAAAATGAGGACACGGCCAACGAGAAGGAAGATGGAAAGGAGCAGGAGCCACCTAAGGAAAGAACCGCCGATGAAGAAGCGATGGATTCGCTCCTCGGTCTGGTTCCCGAAAAGGCTCAGGTCATCCCCTCTGAAGCAGACGCTTTCCAGCGCGACATGGATGCCGCAGGTGAGGTCTCTACTTTGGCGGACTACGACGCTATGCCAGTCGAAGAATTTGGTGCTGCTCTTCTACGAGGGATGGGATGGGATGGGTCTGACAAGGGCCCAAAGGTCAAACAAGTCAAGCGACGGCCAAACAGGCTCGGACTTGGGGCCAAAGAACTCAAAGAAGCAGAGGATCTTGGTGGCTGGAATCAAAATGGCAGTAAGAAGAGGAGCAGGCCTAGATTGGACGAATACCGCAGGGAGGAGAACCGACGGAAAGAGAGCCGGAGAAATGAAGATAGCTACAAACGCGAAAGAGAGCGAGAGAGGGACCGAGAGCGAGATGGGGGCAGGCACAGAGATCGTGACAGGGATTATGATCGACATCGAGACCGACATCGCGATCATCGAGACAGGCGGTGATGGCGAACCGTTCCAGAGACAGTCATACATCCGGGGCGGCGGCGAGTATCAGTTTGCAATGGCCCGAACCCAGACAACATAGAAGACTGTCCGGACATCTATTTCACGTTATTCGGCTGGGCGCGCTACTTCCAGCATCTTATTATCGTACATTCGTCGATATAATAATACCTAAAAGAACCTACTCAAAACTCATGAACCCCACGCTAACCCATAGTTCTAGATGATCCCTTTCCAACCAAGACTTCATCGATTCGTTGCTCTCCCTTTCTTCAAATTCAGTTTACCCTACGTGGGTGATCGCTTGAGCTCTTGTCCTTCTTTTCTTCAACATCCCGCCGACACCATGTTGTTTTCATGCCATTAGGACCAAGTATGTTTTCTAGACGCTCGCCCTTCTTCAGCGCTCGCAGTGCGCCTTTCGCAGTCTCGACATCCTCAAAAAGGGTGCTTGTATCGAGGAACACTTTGTCAATGTGACCTGCCAAGCCTCGTCTTTGTGCATGCCGACTTATCGCATCAGATAGCTCCCGCATCACATGGCACCCTTCTATGACTTGTTGCTCAAGTTTCTGTCTCTTATCGGGGGCCAACGAGTAGAATTCCCTCTGGCCCTGTGTGATGCGTGCACGTCGGATAAAATGAGTGGGACGTTTCTTCCTCTCCGCCTGCTTTACGAGGCCTTTCAGAGTGTAACTAAAAGGTCCCACGATGGCTGCCAAGTTCTTCAGGACGAATCCAGTAAGGCCCATACTTGTGCCTTTAACGAACCCAATCACGCCGTTTTTCTTGGCTCCGCGGATAGGGAGAAGAATCACGCCGGTAAAGCCATCATATATCCCATACAGAAATTCTTTCTTTGCAGCACGTAGACCAGACCGAATTCCCGTAATACGAACCGGTTTGCGGACCGTGTCATCCCCATAGAGTCGGGGTGCATTATGGAAACCTTGTGCCAATGCAACCGAGAGATCCACGGGTGCCCTCGCGATAGCTGAAGCCGTGATGCCGACTCCTTCTCTGACATCTCCAAAATAGGCAGCTTGAAGCTCGGCAGCAGGCGTCTGAGCCAGCTCTTCCGCTCGGAGAAGGTCTACACTTGCAACACCTCGCACCGAATCTTCACCGTTTCCAAGAGCAACATCTTCCGTCCGGCTTGAATCTGGAAGGTCAGCCTTGGACTTAGAACTTGCTCTTCTCTCTTCCCTCATCTTCTTTCTCCTCTTCGTTCTCTGTGCAAGGTGAACAGGGACACCTGCTACACCTTTAAACGCATTGCGAGCTGAACCAACCAATGAGCCAGCGACACCGGTGACAGGTTCTCCCGGACCTTCAAAATCATTCCATTCTACGTGCCGCACAAGCCGTAACTTCTTCCAGCTGAGATGTCCTGCATCAACCAGGATATCTGCGGCCAGGGGTGATAGTTTGATGGGCGTGTTCTTTAGCTGCCAAACGGCAATCCGGTCCTTGAGTACCGAGCATCGCATCGTATTTCGCCCTTGCAAATTCAGGCGATTGTGGAATGCCCGTACTGCATTCTTTGCCCCGTCACCTTCTCTTTCAATGCCGTTAGCAATCTCACGGGCTGCTTCTCTCGCTTCATCGGTCTGCAAATATCTTATGCCCTGAGACAAATTCTCTGGAGTGAGGTGTCTATAGGGAATAGGCTGCGGACCTACTCCAGACCGGGCCACCATCGATCCCCAGAAGATTTGATCTCCAAAGAATGGCACGACCATGGTCGGAAGGCCGCATTTGAGAGCTATCGCAGTTGTTCCTGCCCCTCCGTGAATAACGCACGCCTTCACCCTTGGGAATAACCAGTCGTGAGGTGTGTTGTCCAACATGAATACATTCTGAGGAACTCGAGCACTTCCTAGGCCTCCCCATCCTCGCGAGACAAGTGCCCGCACCCCGGCTTTCTCGACAGCCTCGAATATAAGTTCAGTGAACCGTTCAGCATCATCCACCACGATCGATCCGAACCCAATATAGATTGGTGTTTCCCCTGAGTTTAAGAACTCTTCAAGGTCCGGTGGCGGAGTGAATGATGAAGCCAGGTCCAAATATACGAACCCAGAGATGTTGATATGATCCCCCCAGTCCGCTGGTTTGGGGATAAGTCCTGGAGACCAAAGGTAGGTAAATGGCACATGCAATCTGTACGTCTCTCCAGGTGCCCACAGGGTTGATACAGGGTCCAAAGCTAGAGTTTTGACACGAAAATCGTTGACCAGATCCCCAAGGCCTTGCCAGACCATCATCTCTACCAGTGGATAAGAGATGAAGTTGGTATAGCCCGGGTCAATGTTGGATCGTTTGATGCTGACGAGCGGGTGGGGGAATGCCTGAGTGGGAGAGTAAGGAAAAGTAAACATCAAGTGGACAGGGATTCCCAAAGCTTCAGCACAATGGATGTGAGCAAAACTCGGCGGATTGGCAATGATGGCGTCAGCAACAAACGGATCCTTCGCGCCCATCATCTTCAGATTTTGGTAATCCTTTTCATCGTCGGTCGCGTTTATACAGGCTCTCCAGAATCCGTCAAACATCTCTGCCATGGCAGCCCTTCTCTTTCCGATGTCACCAGCTCGGACGGTTTCAAGAGTTGGGATCAGACCAGGATTCTTGACCATGAAAGCCATGAGTTCAGATGGATCACCTCCAACAGAGAAGAACTCGAGTCCAGAGTCCCTTTGGACATATTCTCGAAAAGTGGGATGGGTTGCAATGCGGACCCTATGGCCATAGTCTTCTTTCAAAATCCGCCCTATTTTCAGAAATGGCTGCACATCTCCGCGTGATCCGATCACCATGATGACTATGTTCAGCCTTGGCCTTGGGGAGAGATCTGTAGAGGCAAAGGTTGAGTCAGAGGAGAGTCTGTGGCTACTAGGCCGTTCTGTTTTCGTCGTTCCAGCAGACGGCGTCGTCTTGTTAACGATGGACCCAAGAGCCTTGGCGATGTAGCCTGTGCCTGCGGTCTCATTGACACTGATCCGCAGTCTTCCATCCTTCTTCACTTTACCCTTGCTTTGATAATTGTTGTTCCCAACAAGAAATCGACGATAGCGGTTATCTGTGTCTGCATCATCAAGGAGGGCATATTTTCTTTTTTCTTCCACATTGCTATGCGAGCGGTACTTGAGCAACTTGGACTTGAGTTCGTTATCAATCTGGGTCTGGGTGCGTCTTAAGTTGCCCGGTGCCGGTATCACGTCCTCATCTTCGTCTGAAGAGGAGCTCGAAGCATACTCATCATCGCATCGTTGCCATATAGCAGAGTTCAAATAAGAAGCTCCGGAGCGTTTGGGCGGCGACGGTGGTCGGGCAGCTGTCTGATTCGTCTCACTGCTGGCCCTTCCCAGCTCCGTCTGCCATCTTCTCTGTGAAGGTCGAACAGGCACACGCCTTGGTGAAACGGCAGTTGAAGCCCGTTCTAACGTTGAAAACTCAGTCATTAACTGCTGCGGCTGCGATGGGCCATCAGATTCGCCTCGGGTTTTGGGGGGTCTAGCAGTAGGGCTTCCATTCTTTGGTGCTACTGATTGACTTCCATGTACTTGAGTATCAGGGACTGGAATCGGTCCCGCCTGTGGCTCGAAGTTTGTTCGGGCAACATCATTACCACTCCAGAAAACAGATGCATTCCTCTCCATCATAGCGGCAGGCAAACTGTCAACTGCATCTGAAACCGAGACATCGTCACCATTGTCGTGACCGTCATCAGAGTGTCCCATGCTTGTAGTGTGTCGACCCAGTGAAACACTAGCCTAGATGTATGCCTAGGTAGGTAATAGAGCGGCAGTGTCGCGTTGAGCGTCTTATACCAAAAGTCGAAAATGACCGGAATGTGGTGGCTGTCAATAAATAATCATTCGTGTAAGTTGGAAGTAGTTGGACAAGAAAAAGCCAGCACTCCCGAGCATGTCGTCAAGTTCATGCTACGAGAAGGCCGTCAATAGCCAGTCATAGGTCGTCATCTCTCGGTGTGAAACTGACAAGAAAACAAAGGCGACGTGTTTTAGTTGCATCATGGATTATTGGGCAAGGGCTTTATACTATGAAATACCTGACTCTGAGTCGCGCCTGTCTTGTGTCGCCCATCGATTCGATAGGTGACATCACCAGTCTAGACTCCCGACCGCGCCAAGGCAAGTCCACCCAACCACTTGCCAGCAGCACCTGCCGTCCCCTGCATCTGATCTACCTCCTATTCAGATAGGCTCCGATGAGCTGACACCGACAATTTCAATCACATGAACCATTTTCCTCCTTCATTTTTCTCATCAATATGCCGACTAGATACCAGAATATTCTATTGCCTAGCTTGAAATCAGATAAAGCCCGTCTTCAGACACCCTTGGCGCCCAACTTACAAAGCGGCTCGCTAGCCCGTGACTCAGCGCCCAAACCCGCACACTAACAAAGCTTCCACCGGGCCGGACGGTCCCCCAGAAACGCTTCGATTCCCAAGGGTTCACGGAAGCCCGGACAAGCAGGCCCATCACTGTGAAGACTAGCTTTGCGCTGGAGCACTGGTCGCCTGACCTCTTTCCTTGTTCCGACGCACCCGCATTTCCAATTCCACGGGCTTCGGCTTCCCTGGGCAAGTCCGAAAAGAAGGCATTCACGATAACTCATTCTGGATAATTCGCACATTCTAAGAGTTGCGAGACGCCGACCGAGCGGACTTAACGCGCGCCGGATGATAGGATAGTTTAAGTCCAGGTGTCAGGGCTCATCTCCACAGGCCTCATGCAATCAAGCCCAAGTCTTGGGTAGACAATCATCACCGCTAGAAGGGTCGACGTAAATTTCGCGTTTCAAGACCTGCTTTCACTCGCCTAGATACTTTCATTATCCGTACATCGTATGTTAAAGACCAAACCCCGCAAGCAAAATGGCACTGTTCCTATGACATAACTCATCGCAACTGAAAACCCAGCCGCATCATCTTGACCAAAACGAAACTCTGATCCCATTTCTTTTCTCACAAGTTGAGGTAGAGACTGGCTAAAAAAATAAGTAGAAAATGGAGGGGAGGGGTTGGGGATGGAGTGAAGAGAATAATTCGTT